ATGCCTCTTCAATACATACATTTGGAAGTAGAAAATATAAAAATTGATGCAATATGTTTCAAATCTCTTACTGAGCAAGAAAAGATTCATTGCCGTTTGAAAGGATTTTGCTTATATTATGGAAAATCTAATCACATTTCTCAACATTGTCCAAAGAATCAACGCAATTATAAAATGAGTAGTACAAATATCAAAGAAGACAATATATCAAAAAATAAGTTTGTCCAGCTAGAATAGAGATTATGTGGCTGAAACCTTGTATAATACCTAATGAAGGTTCTATTCTTTCCTCAGAACCGTCTCCTTGTTTTACATTAAATAGTATTTTAGGAACTAAACATTACAAAGCCTCTCTGTTGTTAGATTCAAGAGCTTCAATATATTTCTTAGATGAAGAATTTGGTAAAAGGCTTAGTATATCTTTAGTGAAGAAAACTAAATTTATTCATATAAAAGTCATAGATAATTGTCTATTATCTTCTGGAGATGTTATTCACAAAGTCTTTCATGTAGAAGTAATAACTAATGATTATAATAATTTTAAGGTATTTAATATCATTTGATCTTCCTCCAATCTAATTATTTTAGATTTATTGTAGTTAAAAAAATATAATCCTTGAGTAGATTCGATTTTTTGTATTCTTGATTTTTCTAAAAATATAATTAAGAATGTAATTAATGAAGTAAAAAATCACAAGTCTAATACAATTAAATATGTGTTTATACATACAATAGCTTTCTTCTTTGCTACAAAAAAAGGATTACCTTATGCCATTTATGCCACATCTATTTCTAATGCTGCAAAGACTTCAAGTAGCATTCTAAGTCAATATCAAGAATTTCAAGATGTATTTGAAAAATAAAATTCAGATATTCTTCTAGAATATAGTCTCTATGACTATTCAATTAATCTTCAAAAAAGAACACAATTGCTATTTGGACAAATCTACAATTTATGACAAAATGAGTTGGCTAAATTTAAGGAATATTTTAAAGAAAATGTAGCCAAAAACTTCATATGTCATTCCAGATCTCTTGTAAGAGTCTTAATTCTATTTGTGAAGAAAAAAGATGAATCATTGTAAATGTGTGTTGATTATCGAGGACTCAACAAGATCACCATCAAGATTAGGTATCCACTACCTTTAATATTTAGACTTCTTGATTAGTTGAATCAAGCTAAGATCTATATAAAATAGATCTACGAAGAACATATAGTTTGGTATGCATTAAAGAAGGAGATGAATGGAAGCTTGTATTTTGAATTAGATACAAACATTTTGAATATAATGTCATGTCTTTTGGATTCACAAGTGCATTGATAGCTTTTCATCATCTTATGAATGATGTTTTTTAAGAGTTTTTGGATGATTTTGTTGTCTGTTATCTAAATGATATTTTGATCTATTCTAAGAACATAGAAGAACATGAATTTCATGTTTTTCATGTGTTACAAAAATTAAGAGATGCATGAATCTATACCAAGATAAAAAAAAAAAGTATATATTCTATACTATTTAAGTTGACTTTTTAGGTTACATCATTTCAAATAATGGACTTATGATGGATTCTAAGAAAGTTCATACTATTATGAATTAAAAGATCTCAAATATTATATGAAATATACAATATTTTTTTGATTTGCTAACTACTATTGAATCTTCATCAAGGACTTTTCTTGAATTGCAGCTCTACTTATAAGTTTGGCTTGTAAAAATAAACTTCATTGGAATCAAGAAGCAGAAGTAGCATTTAAAGCTTTTAAGACAATCTTTGTTTCTACACCAATCTTGTATTGTGTTGGCTTTTTGAAGGCATCTTTTATGGAAAAAAAACATATTATACTTTCTTTTGAATTTTGTATTATCACAAATGGAAACAGATGATAAACTTCATACAATAGCTTTTTATTCTAAGAAATTTTCAATAGCCGAGATTAATTATGAGATCCATAATAAAGAGCTTCTTGCAAATATGGATTCTTTTTAAGAATGACATCATTATTTAGAAGGCACTTTTAGTCTAGTCACCATATATACATATTATAAGAATCTTGAATACTTCATGTCAGTATGTGTTTTGGAACATTGCCATGCTTGTTGGAGCATGTCTTTATCAAGATTTGATTTCAAGATCATATATCAACCTAAAAAATAGTAAGGTTTGTTAAGCACCTTTTTGAGACATTCTTATCGTGCACCAAAAGAAAGATATGCATCTTTTGATCAACAAAGAATGATTCTCTTGAAGCTCAAGCATTTTTATTTTTGATTAGTAAAATCAATATTGACTTTTGATTCAATCTTTGTCAAACAAATTCAATCAAATATGTCTTTTGATCTTCTTATTTATAATATTGAGAATCCCTCTTCTAAGTCTCATGATGCTTTCAAATTTGAATTAAAAAGAAACCTACTCTATTTCAAAAGATACTTATATATTCCTGAAAGAAAAGTACATTTACGTGTTTTTCAAGTATGCCACAATTTTCCAGCAGTTAGATATTTTGGATAAAACAAGACTTTAGAGTTGATATCTAGTGATTTTTAGTGGGCCCAAATATAGAAAGTGGTCAAAGATTTTGTTCATTCATGTGATATTTGCTCAAGATCAAAAACTCCTTGTCATTGACCTTACAGACTTCTTGAGCCATTACCTATTTCAAAAAAATCATAGTCTTTTGTTTCTATAGATTTTATCACGGATCTTTCAATCTCAGATTTTTATGATTATATATTTGTAATAGTAGATCATTTTACAAAGATGGCACATTTTGTACTATATACAAAATCTATTATAAGTAAAGAAATAGCCAAGCTTTTTCTTGACAATATCTATCAATATTATGGATTGTCGAAGGATATTATATTGAATAGAGAGATTCATTTTGTATTAAGATTTTAAAAAATTCTTTTTTGAAATTCTAAAGATAGATATGAAGCTATCTTTGACCTTTCATCTTTAAATTAATTGACAAATGGAACATATAAAGAAAGTTTTGGAGCAATATTTAAGGTGTACAATTAATTACTAACAAGACGATTAGGAAACTCTTTTGCAATTGGTGCTGGCGGGTTTCAATTCAAAATCAAATACAAAGTGATGGCTCAAGTCTATCCAAACTTCAAGTAACTTTTGTCGCAAATCAACCTTGTCAGTACCATTTCTATCAAAATCAAATTGCAAGGTAGATAATAATTGAGGTTTTAAGTTTTGCTAGTAGTTAGGTGAATTTACACGACAAGTATAAAAAAATTAGTCTCAAACCAATGGAACCTTAATTATGAAATCTTATTGAAATACAAATCTTGAATATATTCTCATTATTCATATGTTTATTTTTATTTGTTGTAGTTGCTTTTACACATATGTACCTATATTTATAGATATATACAAACATCCACATATAAACATAAGAATAAATTATGTATTAATATACAAAAAAATCATTGAAAGTATTATATAACTCATTGAAAATAAATTGTTGATTTTCAACAATTTGAGTATCTAATGTATCATGCACATAAAATAAAACTAATATTTTATTCTAAAAATTTAGAATTAAGATATTAGAGAAAAATAATGAAATTATAATATAATTCATTGAAAATAAATTATTGATTTTCAACAATTTGAGTATCTAATGTATCATACACATAAAATAAAACTAATATTTTATTCTAAAAATTTAGAATTAAGATATTAGAGACAAATAATGAAATTATAGACTTGTTTAAAATACTTAATAATTAAGATGTCCTTTAAAGATTTAAAAAAAATAAAAACAAAAACAAAAACAAAGGAATGAAAATCAAATATCCCATTGTACAAATAATGCATTAATATGTGTGGTTTGAATTGCCAATCTTAAAGTTTGGTGTATTCAAAGATGTGCCTCATTTTATTTTTAAAAATTTGTGTATTTATTTATGTTGGATAAGTTAACTCTAGTGATGCTACTAAGAAATATTACTACTTGTCAAGGACTTTATAATGGAATTCTATTAGTAATTATGCAATTAATGGATTAAGTTCTTCAAGCAAGAATTCTTAGAGGAAAATTTGCTAGAAACTTGGCATTTATTTTGAAAATTACATTAACTTCCACAACAAAAGAACTTTTGTTCATTCTAAAGAGAAAGTAATTTCCAATCTGTCTTGCATTTGTAATAACAATTAACAAATTCCAAGGACAATCAATGAACATGTTGGTTTAGATCTACAACAACCTATTTTTTTCCATAGTCAACTTTATGTAGCATTCTCTTAATGCAGTTCTTTCCATTCTATTAAGATTCTTCTTCCTAAAAATGATAATTTAAATTCCACTTTGAATATTGTTTTTCCAAAAAATTTAATTAGATAAATATTAATATTTTATATTTATATGTATATTTATTTATTTATTGACTGTAGTACATCTTTAAATATTTTAGTACACTTTTATGATTTTTTATGTAATTTAAGATTTTTTTAATATTTTCACAAGTAGTTCCTTGAATAAAATTAATTACTTTTTTTGCATATTATTTATGACAATGGCACGAGTTTACCTATCTTACTTTGTAGCTGAAAGCTCCATTGTATATTTTATTTCTTTCTATTTGTATTGTATTATATTTGTATTTGAAAAATATTCTTTGATCTCACAAATGTATCTTTTAAAATTAACTTTATTTGAGTCACACTTTTTGTGACAATGACACAGATTCATCTAATACAATATAAGAAGAGACCTTAAAATAGACCAAATCATTGTTTTATTATAAGTCTAAATAAGTTAGTTCATATCTTCATTCTAACATTTATTAGAAATATAATATATTTATTTAATAGTTATTCTAAGCATTTTTTCTATAACTTTTTGAACTCTTGTAGAAACCATCTCTTTGAGATATGCTCTACAAAAGTTTAAATATAACTTTTTGCACTCTTGTAGAAACCATCTCTTTGAGATATGTTCTACAAAAGTTTTAGGAGACAACACTATTCATGCCATGTAGGAAAAAAAATATATTCTTAAAAAATAAAAAAATAAAAAAATAAATCTTGATTTCAATCAATCAAAATATTTATAAATTGCAGCCTCTCACTTTGTCCCTTGAATATAAGTATAAGGTGCCTCTTAATAAGAATTCTAAATTTTGATCAATAAAAGGATTTAAAATTTGTGGCTTCTCAACTTCTGCACAAGATATCCTTAGTACCCAAATCTTCCTTTCCGTTCTTAAAAAGAATTGGGCATATGGGGTTTGACGGTTTTATGCTAAGTAACTGAAATTCATAGAAAAAGTGCATCAACTACGTGATCCCATGTGATGTGCTAATCAAAGGTTACAGTTGCTAGTAAACTAAATAGTATCGTTGAAAACTCGGGATCATTGTCTCTGAAGACAAAGAGACTACGACGTCGATGGTGGTGCCGAAAGGTATTTGGCTGCCAACTTCCCGTTGGCACCAAAGGGGAAGAATAAGCCTGGAATGGAGGCATTGCCGGTTCCATACAGCACTTGCAGGATCTGCACCCGCACAATAATAATAAATATAAATAAAATCTTTTGCATAAGCATGAAATGTACGACAGAAGCTACGGTGTGCTTCAGAAAAAGGGCTCTAAATTAGTAGAAATTAGGGGTTATATCATGAGCAATCAATCACCTGTTCAGGAGTGCGTCCCATAGACAAAGAATTGTCATTGACAGTGACGATGTTTCCAGTGAGGAGCTTCTCGGGAGTCTCATTTCCAGGCACCAGGATGCCCTCGTCGATGGTGGGTGGGAGAGAAAAGGAGTCGTTCGTCATAGGGTCGGTGACGTTTTGATTGTCTCTATCGAGCTTCTCTCGTAAAGCGGACAACACAGAAGTGAACTCGCCCACAGTCATGTTGTAACGCTCCACCTTTTGCCTGCGGCGCTGGTAGAGCACCGTGCGGATGGAAGCATCTTCCGCCCCTTTTACTCCCGCCAGCCTCGCCACCAACTGCAAGGAATGAAAAAAAAAGGGAAAGGTGACCATCGATCACCACATGCGCAACTAGTTTATAGTATTCGAAGATGCAACAATAAGATTCAGCTTGTATGCAGAAATCAAAATTGCGTACTCTCATGTATATATATATATATATATATATATATATATCTTACATGTCTTGCAGAGTTGCCTTGGGCGTGCATGTTCAGTGCAACGTAGCCTGTGTAACTGACGTAGGGGAGCATGTATGCCGCTAGCAGAAAGTGGTTGCCGGTGGTGTATGGATCAAATGCCGGTTTGAGCTTCCTCCCAAACGCTTCGTTGAAGAGCCCTCCCCACACTTTGCGGCTGATGTCAATCTGCGGCCTTGCAATGGACCTCTCTCCCAACTTCGCCGTGATTTCTCTGTCAAGCAGTAAATCATACAAGACGCCATCCACCAGATTGTGAGCATGAAATGGCACGCTTGAACCATTTGTTTTTCTTGCATGAATAGGTACTAATGTGTTTATTAAATTCCGCAGAATTGTTTAGACCATTTACAGCATCGGAGAGGTCGTGTTTCCAGTGGAATGTGGATTCGTGTGTTGCGTGTTGTGGTTAGGGCAAATTACCTGATGTGACCGAGAGACTGGAGGCCGAATTCCTTCGCGAGATGCTCAATGAATCTTCCAGTGTGGGCTTTCTGGGCGCCAATAGGTGGAGGACCGGTGACATTCACAGATGTTCCATTGAATTCGTTGAGACCAAAGCCATATCCAGCATGCAGGAAAAACTCGGCCTCTAGATACTCCGCGTTAAGGATAACATTCAGTTCTTCCACATCGCGGTGCGAGAATTCTACAGGAATATGAAGCCGATGTTTCTTGTGTTTGTGATGATGTTTCGGACACTTGCAATGTGGTGGAGGGGTTTCGACCTTCTCATCGGCCTCCAACATCTCGAAGTCAACGATACCATCATCCTCTCCTTGGAATTCTGTGTTGAGAACCTCGGAGAGTTGTTCCTCATTGGAACTGGCCGTGGTTACAGCAGCCTCCGATTGCGGCACTTGTTCCACAGCAGTGGAGACAGCTGACAACAACAGAGTCACTAGTACGAGAGTCGAAATTGTGAGTAGGGACGTCGACGGAGCCAACATGGCTCTCGCCATCGCCACCAAAAGTTCAGATCTAAAAAAATCTTTCTTTGCACAGCAATGTACCTGATCAGTAATTATGTGCAATGTAGGGTGCTAACTTCTCACCACGGATTATTAGTTCCGAGTATAGTACACAATCTGCTAACTCTTGCCGAAATTTTCTGCATAAGCTGTTGGACGCCACAAGTCGTATGTACGTGTGCTGTTTTTCAGTCTATAAAATGGTAGTCCAGTGGAGGAGACCTTACCTTTCCAAAAGAAGTTAAGTTCGTGGGATATCCGTCATGACAGTTAGCAGTTGAAGCGGTTACAATCTTGCTTAGTTGTAAGACTTTCCAGGACACGTCATTGAATCCACCAAGCCATATATTACAGTCAGTCAACTACATCCATTGAGGCAAGATATTCCAGACTCGGGAACTGATGGAGTTCGGCTGCAACAGGTGCGCGGCCGAGGTGTCGTGTGAGCGCATCGGCCCTTGAAGGTAACTATAACGGCAACAAGGGTATCCAACTGAAGGACGCAACGATACAACTGACAATCAACAAGTGCTCACACAACAGGGTAAAATGGGAATGTGACACAGAAATCGTTCATGACGTAATTAAATTCATGAAACAAAAGATCCAAAGGGACCATTCGGGGACGAAGATACACAAGATGTAATTATTCAACTGTCTGCTAAACAAACTCGGAGAGCCAAAGCAATATCGCTAATTTGGCGACTTTTATGCTTTGACCACCTTCGCTTCCGGTTATCGACAGCACAAATTCTATTTCTTACCCTAGATCACAGGAACCAGCAGCAGCTTCGCAGGGAATGAACCTGCTTCGAGTCATCAGAGATCTGCCTCTGTAGTCGATATTGCTATATTCCATGAATTAAGGGATTGCAATGTTGAGTTTGGAAAGAAACTGAGGAGGTCGAGACGACGGTGAACTTGATGATGGATTACCTCGTAGGTTTATTCACTAACGCTTCGGAGCAGCTTCTAGGTTACAATTGGCCGCTGTCCGATATCACGATCCGCATTTTGGGCACTTCATCCTCTCCGAATACACTGTTGTTGATGCGCTCTACGATATCCATGCCCTCAATGACCTCGCCGAAAATGACGTACTGTCCGTCGAGCTCAGGAATCGCGTCCAGAGTTATGAAGAACACCGACCCGTTCTTATTGGGGCCCATACTGTCCATGGCCAGAAGGCCTCCCTGGATTAATAGGAAACATACAATCCGATTCAAAAACCTTCAAACCAACAAATACCAACTAACAAGAAGCGTCCGCTTGCACTCAAAATTTGAAAACGTGTAGAATACAACACCATCATAATAATCAGCACCATCTTTGCTCATACCTGATCGAACTTGTCGTCCCACCTCTCGGACTTAAACGCACCACCATAAATGGATTCTACTTCGCCTTCCTTACCTACTCCCCCTGCAACCACAAAGTAGTCATCGCAAACCATTTAAGCGCCTTGAGTTGCTGGATTTCATCGCCACAATTTCCCCACCACCATGCGTTGGCATCGAAATTGGCAATAGAAAAGGACGAAGTGCTAGAAAAAAAAAAAAAAGGAAAGATATATACTTACTCATTATGTTACCACCTACAACCAGTAATCCGTGAACCACACGATGGAACGTCGTATTCTTGTAGTGAAGGTTGATGCCATTCGCATTGATTCCCCGCTCCCCAGTCGCAAGACTGCGAAAATTTTCGGCAGTTCTTGGTGCCTGGAAAATTCAAAAGCAATGCTGCAGGTTCGTTAGCTCATCTGGAAGAATCCGAAGCTCAGAAACTCAAACCTCGTTCTGTAAACCCAAAACCTCATATCCTCAGAACAACCAATTCTCATGATGATTCCTCTCAATCCAATTTAATCACATGCATATTGACAAAACCTCCAGCAACACCTTATCTCCTCAATATCGTCACCAACAATCTAACCAGTGGAGGAATACATCTGAACGGCATTGAAACGAGGGAATAGTCGAGACAAGTACTTTCTTCTCGTAGAGCAGGAAGATGATGCGTCCGACGGGCTCCTTGGCGAAGGTGACGTCGAAGTAGACACAGACGTGACTGATACAAGCACGGCCCTCGGGATCATCCGCGGTCGGCTTCAGTCTCCAGCGCGTAGATCCCCCTCCGGACCCCTGCAACATTATTCTCCCGCAGCCCACGATCTGCAGCAAGCCGATTACTGCCAAAAAACTGGCGACTAGAACCAATACATTTTTCTTATCCCGGTATGGACCCATAATCCCAGAACACTCGACCGTCCTCAAATCCTTCTCCGTGTTACGAAGACCTAGCCCAGTTCTCCGACATGATTGTTATTTACGTCGATCCGTTGAACACCCTCTGCATGCTCTCACTAGGTTTCCGGAACTACTGAATCTAGAATACGTCAATGTTCACGCAACCATTACTACTAGATCGAAGAATTAATGTCCACGCCACAAAGGGCGCGAGATACCTGTCTACGAACTGAAATTGAACCTACAAAACTTAGTGTTCTCTTCCCATTTCTCAGATGGCTGTGCTCTTCCGCAAAATCTTCACGGTTTACCTTCTTTGATATAAATACTGACAGCGCACCATCGCTATAGAGATCGACTCGTTAATCCAAGCTCCAAACAGTAACCCAAAAGACTCAATCTCGACTCCTTCCAAGAATCCCTTCACCAGCATCTATGTCACCTCACAAACAATTGAAAAAACGTAGCGATAAACTCGTCCAGCACTCCAACAACGATCAAACCCTAAAAAGGCATCCACGCCCAACCAGTGTCGGTACAAACACCCCCTCATTCGCAAAGCTCTGCCGACTATCACAACCGGGAGACCACACTACACCACGAGCTTCGAGATCTTCCAAGACGCGGGCCTACTGATGTAGAAGAATGCTTGCGGGACCCCGCTCAAGAGTACTGTTCCATCAACTGCATAATCCCAGACGATCTCATCACTCACTCCGTCACTCGAACATTCCGACACTTCCGTCAGATGCTCCGCCTCGAATCCTCGTTAACACAACTCCACACAGTGCACACCATCAACAATCGAACAACTTTGAAGGCTAACCCACATGAACAAAATCCCTCCCCCCTAGCTCTTCACCATTCATCGAAACTCCTTTCTCAGCATCTACGAATCTATTCCATGCAGCTTCGGATCAATATTGCGCAACCTGACCCACAAAACACACGAGGTCACTTCCCAGTGCCAACCACGATGAACCATTTGCCGACTCGCTCCAGATAATTACTAATATTAGCTGGCTCATGAACCCCTCATTCACGGTCGCCTTGATTCGTCGCGCATTTCATCAGCGATCTCGCGACTCTAGCAGAGAATTTCGCAGTCGAATGAAGCCATCAACTAGTGGATTCATTGCGCAACTGCGAATCGGTCGCGCACAGAAAAACTAAAAAAAACTTCATGTCCGCGTTGAAGCTCAGAGAGAGACCGACTCCGAGGCGACGTCGGTGTGCCTTTCACTTTTCACTTTTTGCAATTTTTTTTACTTTCTCGTCGTTGTCTTTCTCAGTGCATTGGCGGGACCCAGGAATAAATCTAAGTGGCCGATCGGACGGTACGTGATGTGATGTAGGCATCGAACGGTGATTGTTGGCATGCATGAGAACTATGAAAGGGATCTACGATCTCACTTTATGGAGTTCCATGAGCATTTCTGGGTCCCACAAACACTGAGCTTTGACATTTGAAATAATGGAGGTGTGCATTATTTTGGTGGGGACGGATTATTATTGTTACTATTATATAACGCTTGTAAGATTGTATGCAAAAAAGGATAAAAGGAAAAGATTATATATACTAAAAGAATAAAATTTATGGTGAGTATTTCACAAACAATCAATAGAAAGTTGAGTCTATCTTCTCAACTTACATTCTATGCCTTCTTTCTTTCCTCATGGTAACATCACAAACATATTGATTTTGTAGTTGTAGTTATGTGTTTAACAATGTGATTCTTTTCTTTCCTATAATTTATTTCTTTTATGCTTTTTAAAAATAAAAATAAAAAAATTGGATAGATAATGCATTATAATATCATGTTAATAGCATGAGTGTTTATGGAAATATGTTCTTTAATATTTACATTGCAACTTGCCTGTATTGTTTCTACTTGTAAATATGATACTGACAATATTAATTCAACAGTGTTAGAAACTCTTGACAAAGTTGTAAACTTACCTTGTAAAGAGTTTGTAAACACTCAATTTGATATTACAAAATATGGGCCATCTTCATTTTGTAGGTACTTTTTATCAAGAAAATTAAATGATTTCTTCATGTTTAATTCAGTATTATTTTATTTGACTTCAACATATTAACTAAGTTTTTGATATGGCTGTCTTAAACAAATTAGCAATTAAAATTGATCATTTATTGAAATAATTGAATAATAATTGTTTTTCGTTTAAAAAGATAATTTAGCATTAATATATTAAAAGATCCAAAACCTAAAAGTCCACTTTGAAAGGTTGTGCTTTAAAGGTTTTTTAAAACTTGCATGGTGAAAAAAAAGTTGTCTTATAAAAACTTCAGTCTTTAAAGATACTACAAAATAAGAAGATGTCTTGACATGAACCAAATCATTTTTTTTTTTTTATGATTTAAAAATGTGGTTACTCAAATATTTGTAAAAACTGCAACAATTTTTTATAAATAAAAAACAAACAAATAAATAATTGAACATATATTTTTAGAAAATATAGTTACTTTTAATTATTATTTTTGTGAAATCCAACTCTTAAAGGGGAACATAACACAAATTTAGGTAACAACACTATACACACCATGTAGGAAAAAGAAAAGAAAAAAAAAACCACCCCATCTTTTCTTCTTGTGACATCTTGGTTGATTTTATAAGTACAAAGTCAACTAAGACAAGGTTCTTCATCTCAACATGTGAGTAATAAACTATATAAAAAAATGACCTTTAATACTAGCAATCAATGCTGTAATTACCATGGTAAAAAAAAATGAGTGAGATTCGAAAGAACAGCAGAAAATGGATTATGGCATGGCCAACTAATCCCATCTGCTTCCTAAACCCTAGCCCTACCCCTAAAGCTTCAACTTCATTGTCACAACTACGACGACTGATGAGGACAACTCTAGTTCGGCAACTTCGACGATGCGGATTCTTTGCGTCGCAGCATTGCCCATCTTCGAGGCGAGGGAAAACGCCGAATCACGGCTCGGCGAACAGCACAAGCCTACGCTCTCGCAGCTGTAACAAAGGATTTGTCAGGACCACAAGGCACGGATTCTCGTTTCGTCTCGTGGCGAAGTGAGCGGTCATCGACATCCGTTGCGATTGATGCGTTCATGAAATATTCACGGTTGGTCGAAGCGGACGAACATAATCGTCGCTGTCCAAATGGTCCTGCTTGACTTCGATCCAATGGCTAATCGTTTCGGAGTCACGATGAACTCCGACGCAAATCATAACGGTGACTACTCGGACCCACAGTTCCCTTCCAAAACTCGGAGGAGCGTCGCTTGCAGGCTATCGGGCGTCGTCCTCGATTTCCTTGAATTCTGTCAACGTCATAACATGTACAGGCTCTCTTGTTAGCACTGGACGTTAACATTTCCCGAAGCAAGTGAAAGAGCTTGAAATCACACACACGCACACACACACACACACACGCACACAGTGCGCACAATGCGGATGACGAGAAACGCGACTTCGCTTACATAAGCTCATAAACTTGATCTTTAATGAAGTGGATGAAGCATGCTACCTTGACGCAAACGGCGGCACGGAATCGCACGTTCTCGCAAACGGACGCCACACTGATGATCCCGAGGTCCAACTCTTGCAATATGCTCAGTAATTGAATTAGAGACCGAGCATGGTAATTAGTTTCCACGTTGATGTTCATTGTTTCACCACCCAGTATGCCTTCCACCACAACAGGCGTTGTTGTGGAGGACGAAGGGCCAGCAGCTATTTCCGTGTTGAAGGAACCCAATTCCTTTCCCGTCCTGAATTTAGCTACCGATGTCGTCGCTTCTTTCGCTCCTGTCGCCCCGAGTGCAGCTTCTTGCTCCTTTTCAAGATTCGAGATTCTAGAACGCAAGTGCCCGATGTACTCAATGGTGCTGCTGAGCACCGAAATTTTGTCCCTCTGCAAAATTCCACGAGTTCATCATCAAATCCTCCAACCAGTGTAATAACCTTACCCGCTGAGCACACAACAGTTGCCATTTTCCTCGTGAGACTCCACAATGAAAAACAGGTAATAGTGAAGAAGACGACAGGAAATAATGGTTTAGGACCGCAAGCCCTAAACTGGTAAAAATGAACTTTGACGTCAAGTAGAATTCAGACATAAAACTGTTCACAGCATTCTCGAGGAGCTGAAAGGATTCCGATTCCACAGCAGCTGCCTATCTCGTAAGAACTAAGTTAAAGATTCAAAGCAAAGGTGACCCATGACGTCGCAGTGAAGTTCTGCCTCAAAAGTTGAAAAGGATTCGATACGGATAGATTCTGAGTTCGCTTACCTTAGTGATAATCGGCACAATGTTTATCAAAGTATCCAGCTTCTTTTTGGACTTCTCCCTCCGCGTGCGCTCCGCTCGTCTATGCGCCTCGGAGTTCGGGCTTCTGGGGTTATAATAGTTTCCAAGCGTGGCATCGGAATTACCAGATCCAACTCCTCTTTGATTCTGATCCGATTGAGACCGTCCTCGCTGTGTCTCCCAATTAGGCAATCTTCTCATTACCCACTGATGAATTAGAGGCTGCCTTTTGGGAAATTTTCGGATTCGAGAAGATGTGGAGGATCGTAAAGGCCCGAATGCTCGAAAGGCAGATCGAAGACTATGCCACAGCGGCATTTGATGAATGGAGCTCCAACCGGAAGGCAAAATTTGGGTGTCAAGATTCGATATACTAGGTACCGCTGGAGAAGTTTGCAAATCCACTCTAGGCAGCTCTGCCAGAACACTTTGACTTGAGCTTAATGCTAATCTTCCTAGTGCATATGTGTTCCGTTGCGGCAATAATCTGCTTTCGGGAGACTTTTTCGCGAATTCCAAATTCTCTGCTTCTAATATTTCTTTACCTTTCCAGGAGCTGCCAAACACATTGCTTGAGGGGTATCCCGTCGTAGTTGACGGCAGTATCTGTTTTGGTGCCCGTTCTAGAGCGACTCTCTGTTGAAGTTCCTTTCCGCTCAGCTCGGCTCCATCTGTGGAATGAAGCTGTCCGAGCATTTCGAAATCCAGTAGGCTAGTAGGATTGTTTGGCATGTCCTGGAATGGAATCAAAGCAGATTGGTCCTCATAAGGGATTATGCTTCTTGGCATGGTCCAATGGTAGTAAGGCTCCTCCGAACTCACAATGTTGCCATACTGCATGGCTTCGAATGCTTCGTCTAACCCAGTTGTAGCGTTGGTCGTTATGCCGGTCAAAAGTGCCGAGTTCTCATGAGCTAATTCTACGGACACGACACCAGCTGCTGTTAGTGGTAAACTCCCCAATAGCCCAGACTGACTCCCTGAAATCGCCATGGCGGGTGAAGTCTGAACAACGTCCTCCAATACAGTTCCTGCAAGCTCCCGCAGCAAATTCCTCGACGTTGCTGGAATCGAAGGCGGTGCAAGGCCATACATGTAAGGTCCAATGGACTCGTCGATAAAATGTTGAATCGCATTCCGATACATTTCGGTATCCGAAACCTAATGAAAAAGTTCACGAAATTATATTTTTGCAAGTGACCCAGCTAACAAAATACCAATTCAATCACCAAAACGTTTAGTTCGACAGGAATGATCGAGCCCGAAATCTAAAATTCAGAACAATCCATGAGGCAGCATCTCGGTCATATTGCAAGTCCGAATCATAAATTAAAAGTTTCGAGCAATCGATTGACCTGCAAGTCCACACTACAATCTACCATGACTGCCGAAAAGCGATGATCGATTTCTGCATTGCACCCCGTCACAAAATTACTGGAATTATGCAGAAGTAATCTCAAATGCAAGTAACGTCTTGGGTGGTTCACGACTCCTATGGTAGTAGGAGCCAAAGTTTAGCGGTAGAGTCCACTTCAACCCCGAACTCAGAACAATTCAGACCGTGTAACGCGCTCCAGGAATTGCGCATCGGTCAGTCCTGGAAGTCTTTAACCATCACCGTTCCACTCGTTTTCTCCTGCTTCACCTAATGATCGTAGACTTCTCAAAACTTCCACGCTTGGCTGAGTTAGAGGAATCAGTTGGAAGAATAGGAATCAGGGTTTCACGTGAACAGTCCAGGATGCTTCTCCCAATAAGGTCGACGAGCTGGCATCTCAGAGTGCACCAAGAGTATATGGTAATTTCTGGGAAGAGAAAAAGAGGACGTCGACAACCCTCGGCTGTTTATTCTAAAAATGGTACAGATGCGTCATACTATTGGTGTGAGCGTTTCAAGGTTTACAGGTTTTCAAAGGTTACACACGCGGCTTTGCTGCTCTCAATCCTGGACCAAATTAAATATTAGTTCCAAAATAATGTCTTCAACCTGACACTGCACTCTGACCCGCCAGCCCTTCGACACTCCACTGGCGCACTCTCAAGGGAATTAGAAGGTAACCAATGTTTCCATTTCAATCGAAGGGATCGAAGACACTCAATTCCCCCTGGCTCCGCCTAGCCAGAAAAGTAAGTGAAGAGATCCTTCCGAGGTAGCATTGGAGTTCCTGGGCGTTAGTGTATTCAAACGAAGGACCCAGTCGGAGCCCCCTAACGACTAAACCACCTCAAGCCATCATAAAAAACGTCCAACCAAAAAAGTTGTCAATGTAAATTCGGCATTCGGCTGCTTAGATCGAAACAGATCTTGAACTCCAGTTCCTGAATATAATGACTTCGAATCCAGGAAGGTGCTTGAACATGTACATATCAAACAGTTTCCAGATTTACGTTTAACTGAAACAAGTTCCTCACATTTTTCGGAGTAATTAGTGTGTCCAAAAAGTGCCTTCAGACCCCAAATCACGGTCTCTTTAAAATTTGCTTAACTTGGTCCTGGATGGAATTGCCACGATAAGACAGGACAGGGCGGTCTTCCAAGGGAGGCGCCAAGAAGCAGGGTTCAGCCAGCAGCCATTCTGCCCTGATTCGAAACTAAACGGCAGATAAGATTGTGCTTCATACACAGTAGATCACAAGACAAAAATATTATCTACTCCGACAGAACTTGGACACCTAAAGGACATGTAGAACCGGTTCCTAAGAGGATTAGGGCATGTGCTGAAAAATAAACACGTTCCGAGATGACTGACGTGACAAAAGATGGCGTGAGGAACACGCCGTTTCCAACCTCGGAGAAGTTTTGGCTAAACAGACACACTAAAAGTGGGCAACAAATGGGCGTTTCGCAAAACTTTACTTTAGGGACCTCTACCTGAAGAAGCTCACATTACAGCGAATTCGCCTCTGAATCTGTAGGTGATTGCACCGCGAACAAGCCATCGCTGCTTCGGTAATGGTCTAAAGTGACGGACTCAACGATTGGATACTTCTGTTATGAACTGTTCAAACCCAACCGACAGTTGTTGACATGCAAATTGCTTTAGGGGTTGGTACCAGTGAGGTCGAGGCTATTTCGATGCAAAAGCAGCTCCCATCGATTTTAGCGCGTCCTGGAAAGCACACTAGCGTCTGCAGAGGCACCGAAGTTCTGTGTAAGAGGTTTAAAAATGGACGCGTTCTGTAACCATGCAACCCACTGTGTATGCAAATTTGGTAGGGATTTTTGCTTTTGCTTCGATTTCTTATTGGATTGAATTACAACCGAGTCACAGATTCGCATGGCTGGTGACGGGCGAGGTTTACCTGAATTCCAGCTTGCTTGAAGAGATTTAACCGAGGGACACAAATAACACAATGAGCGAGAAACGTCAGTCAGAAAGAATTTCCGGCACTAACTTGATAAAGGCACGTTGGAATGCAAACTTACTCTCAAAGCCACAAGCTTCCTCATGAGTCCGTCATCCGTGTCCGTAAAATTGATTCAATACTGTAAAGACATACCCTTAAGAACATCTCCTTGTTCTCGTCGGTGAGAACCGGCTCGCTATGTCCTGTCCACCAGCACGGAGCTTGCCGATGCCAAGCTATGTAGGCGTACCTGAATTGAGTTGACGGAAGATTTGTTACCAGCCGCATTCCTTTACTTGGAATAGACTACAAATTCTTTTCAGCTTCAGACGAACTGGTATCTGAACCTGGCCAAACCCACAAAATCCAAATGTGGATGGGTTTGGGATTCGGACGCACCCTGGCCTAGTCGGTGTAAACCGACAGTGTCTGTACACGGATTCAAATTGCTGCTTTTGACTAATGTCGACCTGCATGGATTCGTTGAAATAGCCCTGATACCATACAGGGGTCCTGCACACATACACCAGGGAATCTCATCGCCAATCTCACCTCGATACAATTCATGATCCAAAAAGTCAGTATTATAGTGGAATTTCGAGAATTAGAACAGTACCTGCGATCAGGCCCAATCTTCCAGAGTACTCCGTAGGTCCATCCCAAGCTCACTAATTCCTTCAGCTTCTGCCGAACGATCTCCATCTCCAACAGCTGGGAGGCGGAATTCCGCGGTTGTAGAGTCATACCTGCGAGATTGGTCCTCTGTCGTCGTCCAATACCGAAAAAGTCCAGTGTTATTGTGTTCCACTTCCTCAATGAAAGTCACACCAACACATGATCTACTCAGCCCACAGTTCAGATTTAAATCCAGGTTCAAGGTCTTAATCTGATTCTCCCAGGGCTAAATTTGAAAATTCACTGTTTCCTAAACAGCGCGAAAGTCCTTTTACGTGACGTTCCGTGGCTTGAGATGCTGAGACAATTCGGCAGCTCTCGAAAGCGAGAATTTCTCGTCGGAAATCACTCAAGCTCCGAGAGAATGTCAAGTTTAATTCGTACAGTCCAGTACTTATGAGCAGGCTCACAAAGACATTTACGCACACGCACACGTACACGCACACTGCACCCTCTCTCTCTCGCTATCTCTCTCTTGCTCTCTATATCTCGGAAGCAGCCATGAGAATCACAGCGATGACTGAGCGAAAGCTCCCGTGCTGCTGCTGTAGAAACTTGCGGTGTGGTGGTGATCACTGAGACTTCGCTTCACTCTTAATCTCAACACTAATGAGCTACCAATCGCACCTTCTGCACTGTGCTCCGCATGCTCGACTGGTTCCGTTTTTAAGCTTCAGCCACGCAGATCCCCAAACAAACAGCGAGGAGGAAATAAGTATCCCGGAATGAAATAAAACCCACCCCATCGATCTCACTGGGACCTAACTCTATAGGGTAACGCGACGGATCCTTTGCTGTTTGACTTTCAATGGGGGGAAGGGGCTTGGCAACGTCAGATCCAACACATATGGGCGGAGTCCAACGCCTTGGACTCTACGACGTTGCGCACCCCACACTCCGAAATCGTGTCTGCAATCCCCTCGTTTCCTCATTCGATTGTGGTCGACCATCCCCCCCCCCCCCCCCCCCCCCCCACCACCTCGCGCTGTTTCCACATCACATTCCAATCATTCGGGATGATTCGAGCCTGCAAGTCAGCCAGAGTCACCTTTCGCCTGGTCTGACTGGACCCCACTTCGCTCGGTCGATGTGACCACAGCTAAGTGTCAGCGTTCCCGACACAGACGGCCGCATCGAGGCCCACCACCGCGATACAGTACCAGAGAGAGATGCATTGTGCCGATCACCTGTCGTAGCTCTGTTGCTCTGTTGCTCTCGTCCTCCATTCGTTTTGTGTGTGTGTGTGTGCATCGCCTTGGAATCGCCCGCCCCGTCCCTTTTTTCTTTTCTTTTTTTTGTCTTCTGTTTTTTCTTTTCTTTTCTTTTTATTTTTATTTTTTATTTCCCCGAATGATGTGATTGTATGTCTCCGCCGATGACTACAACCTCCTCATCTCGTCACTGTGGCTTTGGTTAAGAGACCTTAGCAATTCCAGGAACGAAGGCTCTGCTGCTGCATTCAGGTGTATTTGTATGTAAAAAAATAAAAGAACAAAAAAACACATGTATATATACATATATACACATATTGCAATGAATTGTACTGCAAGTACACACAGACTATATATATATATATATATATATATGAGTGAGGCCACTGTGACTGAAGGAATCAAAAGTAAAGAAATATGTTATACTGTACTAATCTACAAAATTCACAATGCTTAGAAAAACCAAAACTTGACTATGATTTGATTAATTGGTGATTGAAATAAACTAGTTGTTGAACAAAACAGTACTATTTTTTTTTAATTTTTTTTATTATAGCCAACAACACATCAAACATATTTCTATGCATACCAAACTTTATAGTATTATAGACAATTGTAAACTCTGCATCCCCAATTGATATTGCTACTCCCTATGTAACCTCTACACAACTTAAATTGACTAAAAAGAGCACTTCTACACTTAAGGTGTATTTGGAAACCTGATATTTAATCCAAGTACTCATCTAAAAAAAGATAAAGTTGAAAAAATATTTTAAACTTTCAAATAAATAAAAGAAAACATATTAAATTAAGTAATTTTTGAAAAAAAATATTTTATTTTTTAAAAAATCAACTTGCAACCTATTTTTCCATAAAATATTCATTGTCTCCCTCTCAACCACCACCTTTTCTTAAAGCAAAGAAAGAAAAAAATGCACTAAAATAAGAGACATGTTATTAGCTAATTTACTACAGGAGGTCACATGGAATATAGCAATATCAATTGGAGATGTATTGTTAATGATTATTATGTTACATGGTGCAGTATATTTTTCGTACTTGTGCAAGAATAATCCTTGGATGAAGAACAAAGCTTGATGTAAAAATTGATGTTGGTTTTAATGAATAAAAAATTACTCATTATTTTGTGTAAATAATGTATTTTCAAAGAAAAATATTCTTTGTATCTTATATATCAAATTTAGATATGTGTCCTATCAAAAATCACAATACAAGATCACATATATATATATATATATATATATATATATATATCTCTTTTATATTTCTATTCTTTAATTTAAATCATTTAACTTAGTTAATTGACTCATTCATTCATTTCGACTATAACATTAAAATATTGCATTCCAATATCTTATCACTTTTACTAAATTATATGATATTTAATTTTTTGCTAACTAAGATATATAAAAATCACAATCCAATTGGGTTACATTTTAAGTTAAAATCTTATTTCAGCTTATAAACTCTAATAATGTAAATTCTATATTATAGTTATTTTAAGTTTTTATTTCTTAGTTTATTGAAATATATATTATTTAAATTTTCTAACTTTATGTTCAATATTCATTTAAAGATTTTAGTTAGATTTTTTTTAAACATTTCTAAATTAAATCATTTTTTATTAATTATATTATTAACTTTTGATACATATATTTTTAATGATATATATATATATATATATATAAATTATGCTATTGCTAATAATTTTATTAAGATTATAAATTTCAATATCTACCAAAAAAATAGATGCACCTATATTGTTTAATCATTATCTATTATTATTTTTTATTATTTTTTAGGTAAATTATATATATAATCTTCAAGAATTGTGATTATATAATAATTTATTTAATGGCCACACCAAATTATATAAAACCTACATAAAAATTGTCTAAGTTTCATATTATTAATTCATTGATTCATTCAAACTTTGAAATATGTTTTATGTTAAATATTTTTTTTTCTTTTCTTTCTTATGTATGAAAATTTGTATTGCTTCTAAATCATAGATCTTATAAACTTTCTTTGTTATTCTTAAAAATATAAATTTTGTAACTTATAACAGTACTTCTAACTCTCATAAATCCATCTACTTAAATACACTATAAATAAAAAATAATAATACTTTAGATTGTTACAATATATATATATATATATATATATATAGTAATTGATTTGAAATTGATTCTTATATAATTTTAAGTAAAAATTTCTTACTTTAATCAATTGTAGCAAATTCAACAACAAACAAGGATAACAACTTTTACAAGTTTTTTTATCATTGATAAAAATATTTTATGTGAAAAAATATATATATATATATATATATATATATTTACTAGTTGAAATCCATTCTGTTGGCCACATTTTTTTGCTGGCTTTTATATTGCTCTTCCTTGTTTGTCTCCACGGTAGCTGTAGATCAAGCATAATATAAATATGTACAGCACCACATCAGTCTCAACTACATCCTACACACTAAAGAAACTAACAAAAGCTATCTACAACATACATTGTATCCACTATTTCATAAGTTTTTGCAAGAGTGGAAACTTCTATTTTACCAACCTTGATGGAAGCGCATATGTAAATGGTTTAAAAACCTGAAATGTTATTTTGTTTCCAATAAATGCAACTTATTTACCACCATGAAAGACTGCTTTGACAATCTTGCTAAAATCTTTACTTCTTAAACTTGCCCATTGAACCAAAAAATTCTCCAAACATAGAAATATCATACAATTCATGTGCCTTTGAGGTAAGATGGCCATGCGTGTGAATTAGAGTTGACGTTAACCTATACAGAAGATGATTATACCTTTGATCAGAACATGATTTTACAGAAGTCAATGAAAACCTTTTTAGACAAGGCACCTTTTAAATCTTTAATTTAAACTTCTATCAAGCCCTGTACATAAGAAATATTATGGCCTTGGCTCAAAAGCTACTCAATCAATAACTATATAAAAATTTAACCTGAAAATTTAAATTACTGGGTCTGTGGACACTAAAACTCAAATTTTGAATCCTTTGTTGGATTTATTTTTTTATTTTTTTATGTTTTCTTTCTTCTTAAATATAATCTCAAATTAAATTCAATAAAAAATTGCCATTATACAGCTTCTCAAAGTTTTAAGAGGAAAATTTGTAACTCTCCACTTTTGTAGTAATGCTACTTTAGCACCCAACCTGCAAAACAATCAATGATGCACATAGTTTTGGACTCAAATCATTTTCTGAAGATTTCAAGGTCCATCAGTACCAGTATATCACACTACTCAACTTCCCATAAGAAATCCACATGCTAATTTTGACTGTGGGTGGCTTGACAGCTTGATCCACAACCCTTTCTTTCCATGCACCATTTTATATATAAATTTGTACAAAAGTCTTCCAGGAAAAGTGAGTGAATCTTGCCCTAAATCCCAACTCAGTCACCACAACTCCTCGTGCAAAATGCAAATGCCTGTTTTGATGATTAGGGGACAAGCCCAAAATAAAGCAGACATGTGAGTTAATGAAGAGAGTTGCCCCATGATTGTTGACTAACTTGAATAAAGTTAAGAGTGAACTCAACTTTGGTTCACTTTTCATGAAAACATTTGATGAAAACAATGAGGTATGCAACAAAATAAAGAGGATTTTTGTCTCCTCTTGTTTATCCCCTGAGTTGTTTCATATAATAGATTCTTTAAAAATTTGAATTCAGAATATTTTGATTGATTAATTAATATTAATTAATAATATGATTTGTAATACCAAAGCTTATGAATTTTTTTCTTTAAAACAGATTTACATATGTAAAAAAAAATGTTACAATCATTTAGTTTTGAGTGTTATTTGAATAACAAAAAAATGATATTTTTAAGGCAATAATTAGACAAATATTAAAATTTTACAAAAACAGATAACAAAATATATGTTTTTGAGTAGAATAAATTGTTTTAAAGTGCTTGAGGTTCTTACTTATGTGTCTATGTACGTATGTATATATTTATATATATTTATATATAGCTATATATCATGTTTGACATAGTAATCTAAACTATATTATAAATTATTTCCTTTCAAAATAATTTATGTTATTAAATTTGCATGGTACTAGAACAATATTTGAAAATTTTTAAAAATTCTTTGATGATAAGATGATTATTGTTATTTTTAAAATATTAGTTTAGTTTTCAGGTATGTATGCATTTCATTTGTATCATAATCTAATCACTTAAATGGAAACATATTATTTTTAATATAATTTTGGATTGATAGTAATTTGGATGTAGATTTTGATGGTTTATTTATTTATAAACTTCATTCAAAGAAAATTAATTCTTATTTTTATTTTTTTATAAATTTAATATTTTTTTAATAATTTGAAAAAATTATTGTTTGAATATTATATCATTATTTTAAAATCCAAATAAGAAATTCGTATATACATGTGTATGTATACTATGACTCTAACTACATACACACAAATAACACATATATTATTTTTAAGCATGTGCTTAGAGTTATAATGGTTATATAGATTATTTATCTATTTATTATTTATTTTAAAATAAATTTGATGTCCTATCAAAGTCTTGATACTTTATATATGATTAAGTATAGATCCTTTCTGCACTTGTCTCCTTACACATTGATATAAATTTACATAGAATTTTCAATAGAGTTAGAACATTGAATCATATCAAAGGAATTTAAATATTCTCACCTCATTTCACTTAAAGTTAAAAAATGATAAAATATTCAAAACTCTATCATTTATATGCTTGAATTGTAAATATATAAATATATAAATATATAATTCTATCTGTGTGTAATTACTAAATACGATCTCATTGGATTAAATGAATGTGTTTGTAAAAAGTCTTTAAACCAATTAAAGTGAAACACAAAAGATTCTGATAATAAATAATTCATAATGTATTTATTGTATGTTTATTAAAATAACCCAAAATATTAAATTAATTAAAAAACACACTTTATTATTCTTGGTTTAATACCACAATGGTTTCGGCAAAGAAAACTAAGATTAAATATTAAAAGAAATTGTTGGCAATAAATAGATATGAATATTGATGATCATATTAAATATGCCCTTGTGTAAAAAAGTGTCACAATTAAGTGCGTCTTTAAATTTTTAACTTAAAACCAATATATTATGTAGTGAATGTTTTACCTATTATTTTTTAAATATTAGTATTAAGGTCAATTATATGTGTATAATGAAATAAAAGTTATAATACTTAATAAAATTGAAGAGTTTTAAAATAAAAAATAAAAAATAGTTATTTGATAATTATTTTTAAAAAATTATCTTATATACTAAAGATAATTGTATCTATTTATGGCCATCCATCCAAACAACAATGTATTTCTTTATCCCTGTTCATTTATAAGTACATTTAACACTATTACATAATTTGTATCTTATTTAAGTGCCTTGCTACATAAGAAAGATATAGAGAGGCTTAACATCTAAGGTTAATACTAAGATCCACACCTCATAGTTTTTAAATATATCAAATGTAATCCACTTTACAAAAAGTACATAGTGTTATGTTCTATTTTGTTTGTTTGTTTGTTTTTTTTATTATTATTTTGATCAAATTTTTGTTGTCAAGATATTCTTTTTTAAAAAAGAAACTCATGTATTAATTGTTCCACCTTCTTTGTGAGCATTTAGGTACCATTTTAAAAATATATTATTCTCGAAGCAGAATAAGAAGCTCCAATACTAGTGTATTTTGGTGATCAAATGTATTAATGTCTATTGAATAAACAATCATCGAACATCCTTATCATTAACATACTTTTTATGTTATTAAACGCATTTTTCAATTCTATATAATTTCTCTGTAAAAAAAACTTAATGATGATAAAATTAGAGCATCCTGATTAATACATACATACGTACGTACATGATTATCCTAAAGAGGAATAGAATGGTGTTTCACCCAAGATTCAACAAATTAGAAATCAAATGTGCTTATATAATTCTTGTAGTTTTTGTAGAGTTTGCACTGAGATCCCACCCACCCAACAGTCAATTCTCTTAATCAAGCAAAATCCCTCAAACAAGGAAACAGACCACCTGCCAAAACCCTCAGAAAACAGCACTTTGCTGCAGATTCTACCAAATTAAAGGGCAGTATGAATAGTGACCAACAGTATGAACAAGGACTCCAGGCAGCCATCACTTGCTACCATCCAAGCTGGGGCTCCGAAATGGCATTGACCTAGAATTATATGGGTCCCAGGGATTGAATCCACATGGATTTGGTGTGCAAAATGTGGGGACTAGGCTTGTCCCTACAAAACCCACATGCCTACATTTTGAGACCCTGGGTCAGCCTGCCCCAAATGTCCATGAATATTTACCCAACAATGGACGCCTTCATTACATGCTTCTAGTAATTCTTCAGCCCAAGTTCCGCATTGTTGGACTTGGAAGCTTTGGAACTTTTTTTTGTGGCATGAGAAGGGCTGCGTGGTGTTTCATACACTTCCACACAAAAATTAGGGTTCCTAAGTTTAGAGAATCTGCTGAAAGTTCTGCATTGTGCCCAATGATTGTTTAGAAGAGAGATCAACAAAAAAACAAGATATTATATAACATACTTTGGCATGATTTTCAAAATCCAAAGTTTTACTATTTTCATCCATCATCATGTTGCACCTATCATGCTGTTTGTTTGTTTGTTGTTGTCGTTGTTGTTGTGATTTTGTAACTTGTTCAAAAGTTATTTTGTTTTAATCAATGCCCTAATAGAGCAGCCCTTTGTCATTTCCCACAACAGAATCCAATGTAGTGGCATTTTTAAGGCACCTTATTTTATTATTTTCAAGTTACCTTTAAAGGTCTTGATGCAAGTAATGGTTGCAAAACTTTGATGGAAAGCAGTTGCATAATTTAAAGCCAAATTCACTTAAAGTTACAATATTATTTTATCTATGTGTGGTTGCAGGTATGTTAACATCTACATATTATTAATTTTTTGAAATAATAATCTACATGTTATCAATATTTTGTTGTAATTTAATTTTTCTAATTTCTAACATTGAATTCATTATATATATATATATATATATATATATATATATATAATTTAAAATGTATGCAACACAATGTTAGAAAAAACATGTGCACTTAAATGCTTATAAAAAAAAATGATGGAACTTGTGCCAACTATTCCACAATCACACCCAAAATAACAGAAAGATAAGAAATAAGGGGAAAGTAAAAGCAAACCTGGGATGGAGTTGAATGGAAAAAGCAAATTAGAGGTATATGAAGACTCCAGGAGCTTGCACTCCTTTGTGGCTTGGCTGTTGGCTGAGTTTTAGTAATTCAGTCCCTGTTCATACCCCACAATAGAAGGCCACACTCCAGATACCAAACCCCTTGGCCCTGTGCAAATGACACCAAGAAATCCAACATCAGAAACCCTAAACCTATGCCTCTATTCAAACCACACATAAAATAAATTAAAAGAAATAACAAATAGACAACACATGGCCTTCCAAGATGGTATTTGTAAAGCTGCAAGCCACCACATTTAAATTAAAAGTAAAATAAAATATAGAAATAACAAACAAACAAACATGGCTTCCAAATCTGGTAATTGTAAAGTTGCAAGCCACCACACAGTTTAGCCATGGTTGACATTCTTTAAAGTCATTTGAATATGTACATGTGGATATACATATAAATATGGGTAGTAGTTCAAAAATTGACATATGTTGGGTTTTGAGAGATGGGTTTTGTTTGCATGACATAAATGTGCAGTCAACCCACAGTCAAAATGGGACACAGTGCATGCAAAACTAGAAATCAATCCACACTCATACCCTTATTTATATGTGCTCGCCCTGAAATGACACACTTGTCTATCTTCAGTAAGAGCTATTTGTAGTATTTCAACACTTTTGATTCAACATGCTGACAATTCTGTCAAAGGTTCTGTATGAAGCAAGGTGGAAAGTTAAGAATGTAGCATAGGAAGAAAAGAATACATTTAATAGATTCAGGGAAAAAAAGGTTGTTCTCCTGTTACAATTATTGATTACATCAAAGCAAATATACCATTAAATCAAATTAAAACATACCCAATATATTAAAACATATCCATTGCATGCTCATGTCTACTGCTTGTTTTTTTTGGTTGAGAAACCAAGAAAAGTAACACTTCATGAACAATTAAAAATAAAGAAGATAATAACAAACAAAAAATAGTCAAGTTCCGTTCACACTTCAATTCTAGCGCACCGACAAGTCTATTCTTTTCAACTCAATTCTCCCTTGTAAAATCCTGATAAGAGTACGAGCTTAGAGGATATGATAAGGTAGAAGTTCTGTTAAGAATTGAGTTCTGATAAGAGAAACCCAGCGACCCACAGCCTGTAACTACGGCAAGAGCTTGGAGATCGCCTCCGACGTGATCACGAAACCCGCCGCACCGATGAAGAACGCCAGCGTAAGGCGCCCGCCGGGAACAATCGGCTTCACTGACGGAGGCAGGCAGATGCCAGAGTAGCGCTCAGACCAAGCCATAGCCGCCGGCAGGATGCCGAAGAGGACAAGCACTGGCATCGAAACCAAACCACACGGTGAAGGGATTTGTTAGTACGAAATCCATGCTTCAACCAAAATGTGTGGATTCGACGAGCTGAGCCTGGCAAAGATCAGTCTGTGGGAATGAACTACTCCTACCTCCGTATGTCCCTGCGAAATCCAGAGCTTGGTAGAAGATGTCCCGCGACGTCAGTGCCAGGAACATTGGCGGAATGAGCGTGAGGAGGTAAGGGAGCGGTGAACGGCGACCTCCTCCAGGAATCTTCAGCACTGAAACGAGCCGACAAGAAAAAAGGTGATTTCAGATTTATAAGATCATAAGGACGGTCTTGGCAAATTCCTGAATGCTTGACTGGTTGCAGGAGAAATAATTGGTTTGTGCACTTACAGTCACAGAGAAAGTCAGAGAGCCCGAGGACGAAGCCGATGAAGGAGGTGGCTATGGCCAAAAATGAGAAGACCTCCACAGTTGGCTGGTGACATGGGTAAAAACGACCAAACAAAGGGGAAAAATGACGTTAGATGGAGAATGCTCAGGTAGGATGATTCTTTTCAGGGTTTTGGTTACAGGTTTCGACTTACAGCGACGATGCCACTGGCAGACCGGAGTCTGAGCAAGGGGTCAGAGATGGCTTGCACGGCCCCGGAGGGATCCACTAGAGATGACGAAGTACCGAGGATGACTGCGTTCCAGATCAGAAACAGCACCAGTGGAATGCCGGTTCCTAGTACCACCGCAGTCCTGTGCCAGCGAACAAAGCCACCGCAGCTCTGTCATTGAAGTGCTTCTAAAAAGAATCCCGAATGAGGTGGAACAATAGCTAACTTCAGAGAATAAGACTTCTACATGCTGGAATTCATTTCTAAGCTTAACAATGCCATATCAAAGCCAGTAAGAGCTTTCAATAGCCTAAAGCCCAACCCTTGCAGCAAATAGTTTTCTTTCACTGCCTGGACTCCATACATATCGAATAATAAACCTGAAAGCAAGAGGAGCGCACCTGATTTTTGGTAAATCTCCCTCTAAACTCGTTGTCACCACAGGAACAACATTCTGCAAGGTAGTGAGTATGAATAAGGTTGATTGCAATCCATCAAATACTCCAGCAGTTGATAATGAAATGAAACTTCGAAAGCTTACCTGGTAGACGAACGCTAAGGCGATGACTGGAATACTGTGCGGGACGGCTACCCAGTTGGCCGTCAACAGTGAGTTGAAATCCAGTCCTGAAGATCCAACAGTCTGTTACAAAAACAATCCAAGATCAACAGCTCGCGTAGTAAAGATGCGCAAATAAATTTGAGCTCATGTGGATAACTAAAAGCAGAAAAAACATAATGCCGCAGGAAATGAAATTACCACAAGGAGGCCAAAGCTGCCAAGAATGCCGACCACAAGGCCTCCGTTAACTACACCAATCACTCGCTGGCTGTGCCCCAAATAAAAACCATAATGAGCCAGTTGTTTGCAGGCTTTCAGAAATCCATACACATGTTCCAGAGACAATAAAATGTGAAGATTCTTCTCGAAGCACCACAGCCTTACCTCCCAAAATAGCATAGGCCACCAAGGGTGCTTGTGAACAAAGTTGCACTGACCCACCTGGAAGAGAATCACCAATAAATGAGAACGAGCACACGATGCAAATACCTATGATTTATAGATAGATTCAAGTAAACGGTAGAATTCGACTTTGAAGGAGACTCACAAAGGAATGCCAACGGCGTTGGTGACGATATCGGAGGAGCGTGCGATGTAAGCCACGAGCAGCGCGTAGTGGATGAAGAGATAAGCCCCACTGTGCGCCACGCCCACGAAAGTGCACAATACTGTTATCGATTCTAAGTTACTTGGAGAATTTAGGTGCAAATGGTGAGAAGAATATGTTAGATGCCCACCTTACCAGGCTACTCGCACTCCCCAAACGCCTAATGTACGTAAAGCCATGGAAACCTGTGCAGCCATTAGCTCATTTCTGGAAGGGTCAACTTTTCAGAATTTTAGAAGGATAAAATCAAATAAGAATGTAATAGACAATCGTGGTGTGAAGGTGGGAAGCTTACGAGAGAAACCCCCCCAGATCCAAGCTCACACATCGTGTTGACATTGACCTCGGCTACGAGTAGCCCTGATCCAACCTGCTCTGTTCCACATGGTGCTTGTTATGAGTCAGTCTGCATGGATATCTTGGGCGATGATGATTCTTAGAAAGTTGTTATGATGACCGTGAAGGTTAGAGGATGACATACCATGTAAAGCCAGCAACCGATGCATGCAACGGAGGAAGCCAGAAATCCGGACTCTTGAGTCACGGACGGGATCGCCAATATGCCGGCCCCTACTGTTGTGCCCGCAATCAGAAGTACCGCACTCACAAGACTTCCTGCCGATACATTTCACAAGATATGACACATGGCCACCGCATGTGCAGATTAGGTTTATCTCCGGCACAATTCATGCCGTATTATCAAGATCATGCGTCGCCAAAGGTCGAACCACGGGAGCTCGAGAGGAAGAACTTACCGGGCTCATGCTTGAGCGAGACCTCATTCAAATTGGAGAACATCCGCTCCACTCGCCGTCCTTCATCAACCTCGAGGACTGCGACTTTCTTCTCCGAAATCCCACTCCGGGTCGGCATGTCGAAGCCGCTCAACTCCTCCGTTTCTTTTTGCACGTCCGGCTGCTTGCTCCTCGCCACCACCAACCCTCCCCTACCCCCTTCAAGACCAATTCCAAGTCTCGGGCTCCGACTCTTGGTGGCCACGTTGATCCTGCCTCGGTGATGACCATAGCCTGGCTGCGGCCCTGTGGCGCACGGCAGTGTGGCCATGGCCTGCATCATGAAACCCACTCGATTTCTGGCTACGGATTCCTGCTGCTATCCCCTAAATTTTCTGCAGCAATTCGCTATCGCTGTCTAAGCTGATTGAAATTCTGATGACTGATTGCCTGCGATATGCTTGCGTTTGTTGAGTGTTGCTGATGATGGAGGCCAACGGATGATGAGTGCGATGTTTGTGACCCTTGTGCTCGCCACATGACAACCCCACATTGAGACGAATTCCGACCGCCAAGTAGGTCCCGATATGGTGACAAAAAGGTAACCAAAAAGCGTTCATGAGGTGGAGGTGCCAACTCCCCTGCATTTGCTGAAATTCAGGAGCCATGCGCTCGAGAGACAATAGCCACGGATTCTGTTGGTATAACCAATCCTTCTCGAAACATTCGTTGGTTATGGGCACAGCCCATGAGGATGGTAGCCTCACGACGGGAGGTAAAATAGAAAAAGAAACTCTCAAGGGTGAATGTAGGTTGTTGGTTGGTGATGCATGACAACTCCACCGTATTTCTTACGATTGGTTGAGATGTTACGCAGCTCCAAACCTTTTGAAAGTTTATGAAAATCATTCTAGGGACTTTAAGGGGAAGTGCTACTGCTCATGAAAGACTTGGCCGTGGCTACAGCTTTGGTAGCATTCTGCGATGAGCAGTCCAGAGAGAGAGAGAGAGAGAGAGAGAGAGAGAGAATTTGATGCAAGTGTTCTGCGTGTTCGTTAGATACTTGAACTTGCGATATCCTTGTGTATTGAAAGCTATCGATGGATTGTTCATTAGATACTTGAACTTGTGATATCCTTAGACAGTCGAAAGCCATCGATGGGTTGTCTTCATTACTCTGGGCAATCCGTGGCATAATAATCGCACCCTGCTGCGACTGCCGCATGCAGGCCTGCAACACTCAGTAGCAATCAGGTTTTTTGGATTCTCTCTGGGGATTCAAAAAAGCAACTGGGTACTGCAGAGATATTTTTCTTTTTGTATCGCACTTGAGTTGCAATTTTCTATGAGGTGGGCTGTTCGTCGTAGAGGATGCTTAATTGAAGCTCTGCACTGTCCAATTTACTAGAACGCTCTTGAAACATCTCATCCAGTCGAGTCATGTGATGAGGTGTTCTTCCTTGCCCTGCGTAATTCTTGCGAGCACCTCGTTGCCGTTTCTTGATAAGTATCACAGGTGTCAAGGAACTGCTTTGAGAGGCATTAGGCGAATGCTTTTTTTAAAGACGTGTTTGCGTGTCTGTCGCACAGCGTGACCATCGTTGTGCTGCTTCAAACCCCACCTCTACAGTGTTTGCTTTGAGATATGAAACAATTACGATGTGGCTGAGGTTGTATTAAATACATGTATTGAGATCTCTAATTATGTCACAGTGAAGATGGTGCGCTATTATGGTGCCTCGTTTAACAAGTGACTGCTATGCACACAGAGAAAAAGACCAATGGAAGGAAACAAGTGGTCTCTATGGCTGCCTTCTGCTATTTTATTCCAAATTGTGTCGGTTATCCTCACGGCCGTTTACGTCCATGGCGCATCTGTGCCTGCTCTCTATGTTTTCGGTGATTCCACTGTGGATTGTGGCACCAACAACTATATCAACACAACGCAAGCTTTTAGGGGCAACTTTCCGCCATATGGAAAAGATTTCTTCAAGAACCCGACAGGCAGATTTTCAAATGGCCGCGTGATTGTGGACTTCATTGGTGAGTGTGCTCAGTTATAACCGACTGAATTTGTCTCATTCCAATGCCAGTACAAAATTAACACATTACTCGGCTAGATGTTTTAGTGATTTTGATTTTTGAAAAGTTTTTTCCTGTTGGATGGTGCAGTCGAATATGCAGGGAAGCCCTTGATTCCTCCGTTTCTGGAGCCAAATGCGGACCTTTCCCATGGAGCTAACTTTGGATCTGGAGGAGCTGGAGTCTTGGTGGAAACCAACGAAGGCCATGTACACATCTCTAACAACTTTTGAGTTCTTCCCCTAATGTAACGTTACATTTATCTTTAGCTTCTTGGTTCCCTGATTTCTAAGCTCAAGAGTTTTGGTTTTGGTTTTGGTTTTTTTTTCTTTTTTTTGGTTTTTTTTTTTTTGGCTTCGAGTAGGTGGTAGACTTGCAGACACAGCTACGCCAATTTCTGCACCACAAGGCGGAAGTAACAGAAAAGAGTGGCCAAGCTTTTGCGGAGGAGCTGTTCTCTGACGCAGTATACATTGTCAGCATTGGTAGCAACGACTACCTCGGAGGCTACTTCGGCAACCCCAAGCAGCAGGAGAAATATACTCCGGAGCAGTTCGTGAGAGCTGTTGCAACAAGCATTGTAGAGAGCATCAAGGTGAGCACATCATCACCTTCCTCGCGAACTCTACATTGTTTATGTAAATCATTTGACTCAGTATTATGAATGATTTAGTGTATGATCTGAGGTTGTCATCATGATGTGCAGATCTTGTACAGCTCAGGGGCCAGAAAGATTGTGGTATTCGACCTCGGCCCCATGGGCTGTCTTCCAGCCCTCCGGGATCTGGAAGAGACCCGAAGCTGCTCAGCCCCTGTGTCTGCCGTGGCTGCTGCCCACAATGATGCTGTTAAAGGAGCTCTGAGCCAACTTGGACAGTTCTTGCCGGGGTTAACAATAGTTACCACTAATTTCTATAAATTCTTCTCGGAGAGGCTAGAAAACCCATCACAGTATGGTGAGTCTCTTCGTCTCTGCTTGCGTCTCTTTTCAGTGCACTCCTCACCTTTCAGCCAAAGACATACCAAATCTGAAAGAGACTTGCACATGGAATTCGATCCTTTGGCCATAAACAAAATGTTCTCACAATGGCATCAGAATTGTAGTGTTACCACCTGGACATGGACATTCCTCAAAATTCACTTTTTGAGGTAGTAAATTTGATGCAACACATAAGCATAAATTGCTCACGAGAAAATGACAATCTAGAGAGATACTGAGCTGGATTGAGACTTGGAAGCTTAAGGCACATTTTAACTCTCACCAGTGCAAGTTGGTAAGCGCTTGCAGTTCATGTCTTCAGATTCAATCGTCTTTCTTGTTGTTGCAGGTTACGTGAGCGTAGATGAACCCTGCTGCGGGGCAGGGCCCTGTGAAGGTCGGTGTGGGGTTCACGAGGGTCACCCCTCAAAGCCAGAATGCCAGCATTGCTCCGACGCCAACACCTATGTTTGGTGGGATCCATACCACCCTTCGGAGACTGTCCATCACCAGTTTGCCCAGACGGTGTGGAATGGTACATCGCCATACATTGAACCTGTTGCCATGCTGCATCTGTTCAAACAGAAGGCAGAAGCTCATGGGAATTACGCAGATAAACTCGATCTGTTCGTCGGTGATCCGCTGCAACAGCTAGTGTCTGAATCCATGCTCATGACTTAGTACAAATGCAGAGTTCGATTTGCTGTTCGAATCAAATCCATGCACGGTGAGGTCTTTCCTTTTTAAAGTTCTGAGACTCGTATCAAATATGGTAGAATTCGAACTAGCAAGAGGATAATTTCTAAAACATTTGCTTGTCTTAGCTTCCGAATTTGGGGTTTGCTGTGAGATGGTGGATACCGTGAGGCTGAACCTTTGATTTGTATGTTTTTGAGAGGACTAGGTAATGTTTGAGGATGGATGTCTGCACATTTGTCTCGTCTTTGAGTATTTTGAGAGGATCTGAAGTATACTGGAAATCAGACATACTTCCTTAATTGGTCGAAAAACTTCAGAACAAGAATTGCAGGATGTAAGTGAGAATCTGGAAGAGAAAAGAGTTGAAAGGAAACTCAGAAAAAGATTGCAGATCTATGTTTTAGAACCGTGGTTTGCAAAAAAGTGCTAAAAGTGATCTCTATTTGTGATAATGTATGCTGTGTGATGTTGTGTTGGTGAAGAAGTAACTGCTTCCAACAGATCACCTTTGGTGTAGAATATTTGATGAAGAAAAAGAGAAATAATATTATGTACTATTTCAAATTTGAAATCATTCGTCTATACAATTTTTGCCTGTATTTTTACATCCACATGATTTTACTAGTATATGTATTCATAATAATATGTAATATACTTGAACAATGCAAAACAAAGTAGTAAGTACAATAATGACTCATGGACATCCTACAAATCTTGGATGGAGCAATGTGTTTTTGTTTGAGATCTTTTAAGAGAGTTGTAATGTGTTTCGAATTTGAGTACATATTATTCTGTGAAGATAAATTAATTATTTGGCTAGGATCATTTAGAATATATATCAAATCTAGAGAATGTATCTTATAACAAAACTATGAGTTCAAGTTTAAAATTTTTTATTACTTAATCTTTTAAATATAAAGTTTAATTGCTAAAATTTGGAAGATAAAAATAAAAAATGATATTTTTAATAATTTATACTTGAATATAAAATTTTCTAAATTAAAAAAGATAATTGGTTCAAAATTGACATTGTATAAAAATTTAAATAAAAATGGATAAATAAAATTTAGTAAAAAAGAATGAAAGTTAAATTATTGAATTTTTGTTAAACTTAAAAAGCCACAAATATAGATTCTAGGATATGAAGATATAAATTTTTAATTTTTAATTTTTTATTCTTTTTAATATGATGTAATTAAAATAAAATTTTACATGATATTTTAAAAATAACATAATTTATATTAAATATTAATATTAATAAAATAATTTAAAATTTAGATTTAAAATTTGTATTTAACACAAGGGGCCTTATTCCTTGATCTTGCACCTTGTGTTTCAACACTATAATTCATATTGTAATTGCATTGACAAATCTTTAGGCATGTTAGGCAAATATTAACAAATCATATGATGTTTTATATAAGATGATGTTAATTACTTCTCTATACACCTTTTCTCAAAACAAAGATACAAAATAAAATCCTAGCTAGATAATCTAATCTAGAATTTGAAGAAATTTGACTTGCATATAATCTACCTTTAGCTACAACTGCAATTGGAACAAGTTACTACGTGCGCATGCAAAAACAACTCAACATTCAATTCTTAGAAGCTCTATTGTTGGAACAACTTGAAATACTCTCAAAAATTGCATATTGACTTAGTATTGATGCATTTACTTGTGTTGAAATCATAAAATACAACAATCACTTTCTATAGAAATTAGTAGCAAATTTTTGCTCTTGGCTCCAATGTTGAGGTTTTAGAAAGGCCATGAGGACTTGAAGAGAAGGTATATGAGGCATTTCAATGGTGTATGCACAAAACCAGCAAAAGAATTGCTAAAACAAAGTGTAGTTTTAAATTCTCTTCTAAAGGCTCTCCCTCAAAAGGTCCCTACAAGAGACATTGATTCTTGACCTTGGTTGTCAATAGGTTAGCAAGACTACTATAGAAGGGACTCCTGCCCTCCTTAAATCCCATGCACTTCTATCAGATGGCAAGGTTCAAATAACAACACCCAACTAATTAGAAGCCTCCAATTTTTTTTGGATATGCATATAACAATATAAGATGAGTATATAGTAACTTCAGATGTACTTGTAGCCTAAGTTATATATATATATATATATATATAGATAATTTAAATCCTATAAATTAAAAATGTATTTTTTTAAAATCATATAATAGATCTTGGAATTAAAGACTACTACAAATTCGAATTAAAAATAGAATTTATTTTGTAAGTTATTTAGTTTCTTTTAATAAAAATCTTGTATTTTTTAATTTATCTTCTTCATTAAATTATGATACTAATAATTTATTCAAAGATTTGTCATTTGTAGAAGATTTATATTTGTAAGATATTATATTATAAAATATTAGTTTGCCACTTCTACCCATAACATCAAAAATGTTATAAGATGACCAACTCTTGACTTGTATCTCTTTTATTACTACACACTCTGGTGCCAATTAAAGACACAATAAATGTATTGTAGATTGTTATATAAGTAATTCACCACCAAATATTATTTTATCTATTTTTTTCTTGCTTATTGTAAAACTTCATAAACTTGCTTTAGTAGATGACTTATTAAGTATTATTCCATTTTTATTGAATCTTTTACATATTAAGGTGATTATTTTTTCATCCTCTTAGATACTACATGTACATTTATAATACAATATTAACAGATTTATCTACTCTATCTTTTTTTCTTATATAAGATTTATCTTTGTTATCTTAGTGAACCTATTTCTATTTAAAAAATCTAGAAGGAGATGATATATTGAATTTGCAACTAGCAATTGAAAAGGTGTATAAATTTTTAATAAAAAATATAAAAAAGTTAGTTGTTAGATCTCTTAATCAATCTATTTTAAGCTTTAAATGGCTTTTTTGTTACAAACATAATTCTAATAGTACCTTAGCCTAATTTAAGGTTTGTTTTGTAGCTCATGGTTTTTTACAACAAAAAAGACTTGATTATTACAAAGTATATTTTTTGGTAATTAAAATAAATTTTTATATGTCTTATCCTTGCTTTGAAAAATTACCATGTTTTTCACATTCATCAAATCAATGCTTAATTCTTAATTCTATTAATACTTATATTTAATTTTAATTTTTTTATATTATTTTTTATCCTTCTTTTTTAAATTAATTAATTATTATTTTATTTTTAATGTTCATTTTATCTAAATTCAATCAAAGAACTATTTTCTTTATACTTTGTTTTGATGGTTATTAATAAAATCAAATAATTGATTGATATTAAAAGTTGATTTAATCATATTAATTATAATTTATTACTCTCTCAAAAACAAATGTCTTAGATTTTTTAAGACATTTTTTGAATAGATAATTGTAATATTATATCTACTCCTTTTAAAGTAAACATACACTATTTAAATACCACCAACCTTATGAAAAGATATTAATATGATGATTTTTGTACCTTATTCAAGAGTTATTAGAAGTTTATAATATCTTGTACCCTATTCAAGACATGATTTAGCTTTTGATGTCTATTATATGACATAATTCAAGAAAAAAGAAGCTTATTGATTTGAATTTTTAAAATATAAATCTTCTTATATTCAAAAGCAACTAAACACTATAGTTTATGCTCTTAAAATTCTTGCACAACTATAAATTCACCACAACTTTATAAATGGTATCATGCACATTATATAAGAGACTTTTAATCATTAAATAAATTTTATAATTCTTATTTAACTTTAATAATTCTATTTTATCAAAGCATTCTATTAATAAGTGATTAAACTTCAATTTGATAGTAATACTAAATATATAGAGTTAGCTATAGCATTAAAAGAACTAATATGGCTACAAACATTATTAAAAGAATTTGGACATGGTATATCTTTACCAATCATAATTTATTTTGACAATTGAATTTTTTATTGCTATAACTAATAATCTACAATTCTATGATTGAAAAAAATATATTGATTTCAAATATCACTATATTCAAAGAAAAGTAGAAACAAACAAGGTTACATTATATTATATATCTACAAGTGAAATAAAAGTTGATATTATCACAAAGTCTTTATCAATCCAAAATATTTTATATATTTATAAGTGACTATATTGCTATTAAAAAAATTGAATAATTTAGTTTATGGTGATTAATAAAAATTGATAAAATGAATATTTATTAATCGTAATTTATAGTTACTACTACCTATAGGTAGTTAGAAAAATAATTCAAACTATTTCTATCTTCTCTTTTACAAAAATATATAAGATTTGTTTATGACTTTGTTATGTATTTTTTCACTCTTCTATCAATATATATATATATATATATATATATATATATTTATATATTTATATTTATATTTATCCTATTAATTTTTTGTAATATCTTATCTAAGACTTGAATATTTTTTAATTTTAAATACACATAATACTTATATAATAGATTTAAAGTTAATATAGCTTCAAATATTGAGTAATTTTTTTTAATAAAATTATAAGTTGAAGAGGATTTTTTTCTTTTCTTTTCTTTTCTTTTATCACTACAAACTAATATATTTACATGCAAAAAAGATTCTTAAATACAAAATATTGCTATTTCTACCACAGTTTTTGCTATTGCCACTACAACTCTCTATCCATGCTACTTTTGTTTAAAATCTTTCAAGTCATATATATATATATATATATATATATATGTAATTTTATATTGTTTAAACCATTTTATTTAAAAACATTTTTGATTGGAATATAAAAATTTAAGAAACATATTGAATGGGTTGCAAGTTGTAGTAGCAATAACAAAAATTGTGGTAATATCAGAAATATTCTAAATATATATATATATATATATATATACACAATAATGATTCTTAAATAAGATAATTTCTTTAATTTTTAAAGAAAACTGTCTTAAAATAATCTCTATATGCATTATTATTAAAAAATCATATTTTATCTTACACTTAACTAAACAATTCTCGCAGCGTCGAAAACAATTCGCTTGCACGACTTCGGCACTGCGGTGAAGCGTAGCAGTTCGTACGTCAGCTGCTGCATGTAGTTGTCCACCATTTCTTGCATGTGAGCGACGGCTGCCGCCTCGGAGGTCACTTCCAGGTGATCGTGCATGCAGTAGTGCACGCCTGATAGCTTCCCCAGGCTGGTCTCTCTCTGCACAGCAACAAAGGAGGGCTTGTAGTGTCCTGTTTCAAGAATGAGGTATGCGTAGTACAAGAGAAAACCTGTATAGTGACTTGCCGATCCACTTATCGTCGGGGCCATGCTGGTCCAAGTAGCTGAGATGCTCAAGGCGATCGAGGCTGGAATACTATGGGAATGAGAGAGCGAAGTTCTTTTCGCCCGCGAGGTCTTTGGTGATTATCCA